CCTGTGGAGAGAGATCATTCATCAAAATTTTGAAGGATGGAGGACAGCATATTTGAATTTAGATGCATGCTCAATATCACTCCTCATTCCTTCCCCCGGAGCCTAAAAATTCTAAAACGTAATCCCAAGAGATCACCTGTTACATTTCTTTCCACTTGTATTTATTCTTTCTGGGTAGGATATGCTGTAGTAATAAATATATATGGGTACTTTAGCTCTCCTTTAGTATTGGCTATTTGAATTTTCTGGAGGTTAGAAGAAAATAGGTTAAATAACCTAGCAATTACTACCTTTCAACCTCTTTTGATTGAAAGGCAGCTAGGTGGGCATTGGATAGAGTATTGCCCTTGGAGTCAGGAGGACTTGAGTTCAAATTCAGCCAGATACTAGTAGTGCGATGCTGGACAAGTCACTTAACCTCTTTGTCTACTTCAATTTCAATTCTCTCTCTCTCTCTCTCCTTTTGAGGCAATTAAGTGACTTGCCCAGGGTCACACAGCTAGTATGTATCTGAGGCCACATTTGAACTCAGGTCCTTCTGACTCTAGGGCCAGTGCTCTATCCACTGTGCCACCTAGCTGCCCCTAGTTTCAACTCTCAGATGGGGGTAATAATAGTACTTATCTTTTGAGGTGGTTGTGAGGATCAAATGAGATAATATTTTTAAAGCAGTTATCAGAGTGGCACATGGTAGGCACTTAATAAATGCTTATTTCTTTCCTTCCTTCTGTTATCAGACTTGACTCTAAGCAGAGTTGGACATATTTTTCCCTATAACTTTAGACTCAGTTCACTCCAGTGGCCTGTTACATCGGTAACAAATGCCCCACAGACTTCTGGGTGTTGTACGTGGAGCTGAGCCAGCTGCCAAGTCATGCACAGTGGCTAATGAGTACATTGGGGATATGAGGAAGAGTTTGTGTGTGACCAAAGATCCTCTACTGGGGCAGAGTCATCACCAAATCTTAGAAATGGAGAGAGACTTCAGAAGTTCCCAAGGAGTTCCCCTCCCTCAATAGGAGTCCCTTCTTAAACATTGCTGACAAGTGAGCGTATAGCTTCTTTTGGCAGACCACCATCGCTAACAGTGGGGAACATTTATTCCACTAGGTATAAATTATTAATAGCTAGCTAGCATTTATATATGTACTGCTTTAAGGTTTGCAAAGTATTTTATGTTAATTATTTGATTCTCACAACAACTCAGTGAAGGTAATTTTGTTATCCTTATTTTACAGATGAGGAATAGGGATGGGAGGGCCACACAGCTAGTAAGTATCTAAGGCAGGATTTAAAATCAGATCTTCTTGACTCGAAATTGAGCTCTCTCCACCGTATTACCTGGCTGCCTCAAACATGAATACTCTTTAGTTTAGATGCAAAGGTTTATTGCCTCACATTTGGGGAGGGGGAAGTGGTGAGCCTAGGTGGAAGAAGTTGGGGAGGTAAGCTTATTTCTGTAGGTCAGAAACAATTTTATAGCTAGTGAAATAACTGCTTAAGGATTTTTTTAGGGCATTTGAAAGTATCAGTTCACTGCTAGAAGCTTTGGACATGACACAATCCTTTCATTTTATAGATCAGAAAAATGAGTCTTGGAGATAAGGAAGGTTTATCCCAGTGTGATATAGTTAGAAATGGAGCTGGGTTTTGGATTTGGATATTTATGAGTATCTCTCTGATGGAAAGCCAGTTATTTTAAGTGTTATAAAACTTGATTCATGAAATGGAACTCCCATTGCAAGTTTTGGTGATGACCATAGGTCATCATCAAAATGATTCCTGACTAATACTTTGAGAACTAGCAGGCAAGCTGCAAACCAGAGCTTTCCATGGAGAAGTCTTTACAGTAGATCCATGTAACCATATCTAGATAAACCAGAGAATGGAACTGGCAGAACATCCCGTGTTGGAATGCAAAATGAGTTGTACTGCCATCTTCTGGAGAGTTTGGCATATTGTTGACATACTAGTGCTGCAAACTTCTTCATAGTGACTCAATCTCTTCATGTCTGAATCAGTTGAATATTTTGAGTAACTGTGACATAACTTCTAAAATACTTTAAAATATGTATCTCGTGGAAAAGGGAATTCAGTGCTTGCCCTGTGTTTCCAAACCCTTCCCTTGAAAGCACAACATAGTGACCACAGTCTGATGCCCCAGAGGCTCTAAAATGATAGCACCCAGAGCCCACCTAGTAGTTTGAGATAAAGAGAAATTCAGATGACTGGCATTTTGGGGCAGTTTCCAGATTTATGTTATTTTGCCTTTTTTTTTTTTTTTTTTTTTTTTTTTTGGAGGCAGTGGGGTGAAGTGACTTGCCCGGGTCACACAGCTCATAAGTGTCAAGTGTCTGAGGCTGGATTTGAACTAAGGTCGTCAATCCAGGGCTGGTGCTTTGTCCACTGTACCATCAAGCTGCCCCTTTATGTTCTTTTGTCAGCTGGGAGTAGAAGGTACAGAGACTGGTGAATCAATAAGGGAAGAATATGAAACAGGTTTTAATTAAGGTCTACTAGGTCTTGAGCCCTTTGAAGAAAAAGCATCTTTTAAATATAAAAGAGAAATCACATGTTGAAAACCTTTCATTTGTTAGGCTCAGTGGATTTAGATTGGTGTAGGTTATGTCAGTTTTAGAGTTATGAAAACCCTTATTTGTTATTTATTCCAGTCTTCCTTCATTTAATAAATGAAGAAACGGGTCTCATTGCAAGTCAGTAGCAGAGCTGGGCCTAAAACCTAGTCTCCAGAGTTCCAGTTCATTGTTCTTTCCACACCATGACCACCTCTCATATTTTCCAGGTAGAACAGCCAATAGGTATATCTGTACCTTGAAAGAGAGAGATTATCTTTCCTCTGGGGAGGTGTTCATATCCTTCTTGTTCTCCCTTATCTTTACTTACATAATGGGAACAATCAGATGGATTCACCCTTAGGGCTATAAAAATGCAAAGAATGGTGTGTGGCTCTTCTAACAGCCGAGGATAGTTAAATCATATCTCTGCAGAAAAGCTGTCTTGCCTAGAAGGTAGGACACTTCTTCAGGCTTATCCAAAAATGAAGGTGTCTTAAAGTATTCAGAAGAGAGTTATACAGGCACGTAAGCAGGTATGGGAGTGAAATTGGATCAGATCTGTATTAAACAGTAAACAGCTTACCATTCTCAGGAACAAAGTGTTCTGTGCTCATTTATAGTGCGCTTACCATTGTTGCAGATCAGCGCTCTTCCTGCACCATACCCTGTCAGGTTTTACTGCTGTGCTAAAGCTTTTGTCCATCAGGATAGACTGATTAAAAATAGTCCAGTGACCTGGAACACTTTGTCTGTCTTTTTAAATCAAGCACCTTATTTTGCAGGTAACCTTATTTCAGATAGAACAGGGTCCAAATTTTTTTTTTTAAATACAGAAGTTAATGATTAAAATGATTGAGTTTCATCACCAGTAAAGCTATTTCATTTTGTTTTAGGTCCTCTGTAGCCAGGGCTTTTGTAGACAGCCAAAGTAACACACTCAGGGAAAAGATGGAGGGGGCTATACAGTGTTGTGGCACCTTTTGGACTTTTGGGATAGGAGTTTAGAATGACCTTTATTCTCTCCCACACGCTTTTGGAGTTTTAGTAAATTGCGAACTGTTAAACAGCTTTATTATATCTTAAGTGGCCTTGGCCTGTGCATTGGTTATAGGTACAAGTTTTCTTGTGTTGAAATGGCTTTTAAACCAGTAATCATTGAAAATTAGGAGATATTAGCACCTTCATTTCTTCATTCCTCTCTTTAGATGATGGTATGGATTTAAGCAGAATTTAATTTTTAAATTTATAATTTGACTTTGATGGAGAAAAATGGGGGGAAAATAGCTTTGACCATTAACGGTAGATGGATTCTAAATTCTAATCTTTTTCTCCAAATTGGCTCCCAGTTATTTTGTTTACCTATGTAAATTACTGTAGTGTTAAAATTTCAGGTTCTTTTCCTCTATGAAAATACTTTGATAATCAGCCAACAAATATTTGTAGTGTGTTTATTATGTGTCCAAAAGGATGAGACTCTGCCCTCTCAGAGTTTAGATTTTAGTTGGAAAAACCAGATTAGTACCTCAAAAAATTTAATGAAGAAGAGTACAACATAAGATATATACTTTATTGCTTTTTAGTATCAATATAGTAAATACTCCCAAAACCACATGCACTGAAAAATAATGGTACAAAATTGTAACAGTTATTTCTTTTGACTTGGGTTAAAGATATTTTATTCATTGCCACTCTTTGTTTTTCTCTTGGAATATTAGATTTGGAGTTAGAAAACCTGAAACAGATTCCTGGCTCTGTTACTTACTAGTTTGTGCAACCTTGGCCAAGTTACTGTCCTGGGCTTCAGTTTCCATCTATGAAGTGGAAGGTTGAGCTTCAATGAACTCTTGCTCAGCTGTAGATTTGGTCTCTCCAAGGTCCTTTCCAGCTTTAAATCTTATGATTTTATTAAATCTTTCAGGTTGTGTATGTGTGATTTTGGCATAAAAGTACAAGCTGTATGTGGATCAAGATGATAATCCATTGGGACCCCGAAGGAGTGTGGGGTGGCTCTTGAAATGTTGCTCAGAGGTCAGGGAAGGGTGAGGCTCCCAGGAGATGTGGTAGCCAAAATAAACTGGGAGTAGCAGGTTATGTTTTGCTCTGTTATTTCTCCTAGACCTTGTCTTGTTCTCTCTTCTGCCTCTGAGGTGGTACAGCCAGCCCAGCAGCTAGCTGCAGCAGAGCTAGCTCCCTAGCATCCAGTTGGCTGCTTCTCTGGTGGGAGGAGCCTTTGGCATTGTTTGTCTTCTCTTGCATGAGCTCATTCTTGTTTGTCTTCCTGCTGGAGACTCCAAGAACCATTTCAGTTTCTGCTTCCCAGAGAGAAGGGTGGAGCCGACTTCTCCCCTGGCTTGAACTTTGCTTAGGATTCTTACCCTGTGATTTACTCATAGCGCTGGATTTTCTTGTGTTTGTTTCTAACAGAACTTCTCGACTGCAATCAGTAGCTTTGGAGGCACAGAATTGGGATCCGTCTGCTTTTGAGCTGCCTTTCTTCACACTGCCGCATTGTTCTGTCTAATGTGCTACAAGGATGAGCCCGGCATTCGGAGCTATGGAAGTGGAGCACTACGCCAAGGGAGTTCTGCTGGAACCTTTTGGTCACCAGGTGGGAGGTCACTCCTGTGTCCTCCGGTTTAATGAATCAACCATCTGTAAGCCCCTCATCCAGAGGGAACACCAGTTCTATGAAACCCTCCCGACAGAAATGCGTAAATTTACTCCCCAGTATAAAGGTAAGCATCCAGCTCATGAAAGGTGTTGACTTTCCACTTTGTGCTTCATTCTGCTGTTGTCTTATCCTCCTTAAAGCCTCCTCAACTGGAGGAGGTTTTAGAGGATTTCTCTTCCCATATTTTGCTGTTGCTAGAGCCGGGCTGTGGTGATGCAAGGGTGGACATGGCTTGCTAACAGCATTAGAGCTGAGCAGTTCTGTTGGGTAGTCATATCTTCCTTAGGCGGGGCCAGGTAAGTATTTGCTGGGAAATGTTCCCAGTCCTAGATTGCTTTTATTTGACTCTCAGAGTTTGTTCTTTCTACTTTCCCTCTCCCTACTCCCCTTTCCAAGTATTGGGTAAGATTGCTTAATTGTTTTGTTGTGAGGGTTGGGGGGAGGGTTGACTTGTTTTCTGACTGGTATTGTTAGAAGCTGAGCTTCTGTTTTATATTCTGGGATTCTTTTTAACTGTTTCTTAAATACTTTATTACATTGTTGGGAATAACAGGGAAGATTTTGAAAGTAAAATTTTTTCTTAAATATTAGCAGCCTGTATTTGCCCTTGAGACTCAAATTTGAGAAAGCTAAGGTAGGCAAGGATCAATAGAAATTGGGCTAAGGCTGAGTCAGAGGACTGTGGAAATGGAAATTCCCATTCTGTAAGGTGGGAGCTAGATAGCTGCAGCCTGCTGCAGTTCCCCAATATTCCAGAAGCTGCTATCTAGAGGCACTCCATTGAATCAAACACACTGAGTTGTTTCTTCATTTTTATAAAGCGTTACTTTGGAGACTTTAATAGTCGCCAGTATTGTGTGAGCTTTTAGGAAGCATCATTTGTAAATGCAGGAGGTGTATGCTAAAACTATCAAAATTTCTCATGTGTATGAAAGACAGTTGAACACCTCAGTCTTCTGGAGATGTTGAAAATGTTGCTCTTAAAAGCAAAAATGTACTAGACATCTATTACTACAATGTGTAAATGATGGTTCTTTTTCAGTGAAGGGGAAGGATTAGGGGACTTCACTTGGTCCTTCCTTTTGTGTTGTTTTTTTCCAGGACAAAGCCAAAGGCCTATGTTACCTGGCTCTTCCCTGCCCAGACCTTTCCCTCTGTAGTTCTTTCTTATGTGGCAGCAAGACTGTCAGGCCAGGATTCTGAACTCCCTACCCCAGCTAATCCCTAACCCAGGTCCCTGAGTCGCCTGCCCACCTCAGAAGTCAATCCCTGAGAACTCTTTCCCCTCCGGCCAATTGAGAGAGCACACGGCAAGGACTGAGCAGATTGAGTCATTGATGGGGGGCAAAGAGAGAGGACTGTGAGAAAAAGCATTCAGCCAGTTGTAACGACGCTCACTCTTCGGTAACTGCTGAAACTTTCTCATCGGGCACTGGGGGCAGCCTTGTCAGCACTTTGTTCAGAGACTTATAACCCCTTCCCCTTGCAGTGCTCTAGAGACTCAGAGGAGAAAAAAATGCTTTCACCATGTTTCTGTGTATCCCAGTACAATTTGCTGTGTGTTGCATTTTGTTCTTTATTTCATGGGACTTCAACCTCAATAAAATCAGTCATTGCTGGACAAGAAGGCTTGTCCGGTTCGCCGTAGGCATAGGGTGCCCAAAGATGCTCAGGGCAGCCTTTGCAGAGGAGGATCTGTTGTACTGTGTAATTTGTTTCCAATCACCCACCCGTTTGTTTTGCTCTTGTAAGTCTTTGCTTCTCTCCAAAACTCTATAACCCTCAGTCAAATCTGTGTCCTGGTCGATGCTTTGGGCTTTGCTGTAATGCAAAACTTAAAGCTTTTGATGTTTCTCAACAGGATACTTATTTTTTCCATAACAGGGTATAAATAAAATAATAAAAAATGTTTTTACATCTTGCCAAGGGTTAGACCAGTCACTTTTTTCTTCTTTAAATTAATAAACATTTTCAATAATGTAAAAACGTCTCCTGTAATTATTTGGTCCTATATTGTTCAGTACATCAGCAAGAAAAGACTGATCCAATGTTTGGTCCATGATAAATTGTCTTCTCTGTGAGGTGTCATTTTGTCAAGATGTTTTGATATTTGTTAGGTTGGCAGATGAGTTTTGGGCCTCTGGCAACATAGAAACTAAGGAACAGGGTAAGAAAAAAAACCCAAAATGTTAAACTCATGTTGTATAAAGTGTGTTTTTTTCCTATTATGTTAAATTATTTTCTTCTCCTCCTCCTCCTCCCTATAGGTGTTGTATCAGTAAGCTTTGAAGAGGATGAAGATGGAAACTTATGTTTAATAGCATATCCATTAAAAGGGGACCATGGTAATTTAGACAGTATAGATAATTCAGACTGCGAACCCAAAAATAAGCTCTTAAGGTGGGCTAACAAAAAGACTCATTTACTAGAAACGGAGAAGATCACCAAGGAGTGGGTCCGACAGCACAGAAAAGAGGAAAAAATCAAAAGGTTGGTATAAAAAGTACCCTGAATCCAGCCATTAAACCTGCAGATTGAAGTTGATTTTTTTGAGTTTTATATTTCACTATCACTCACAGGTTACGAAGTGGAATACTTAAGGAATCTGGTTTAGTTTCTGAAGTTCTCTGTCATGAAGGAGGACATTCTTACTTAGAAGGCCAAACTATGTCACTGCTGTTTATCAGCAAGTGATTGAAACTTAGAATCATATTTTTAGCAGAACAGTATTTTGGTAGATACCAGTTGTAGAAGGAATGTGGCTATCTATAATAATGTAACATGAGTCACCTTGAAATTCTCGTTCTACTTTAATCTCTTTTCCCCAGAACACCATCATTTGGAGCAGTGCCACGGGAACAATTCTTCTTGGGTACCCTATGATAAATGTTCTTCCTTATTGGAAAACATTTAATGTAGGAAATTTAATTCATAGGGAATTTTCATAATGGATTTGCTGGGCAATAAAACATGATAAAATTAATTGTCTGCTGGCAAAATTATTGTGAAATGTGGACAGCAAGAATACTTAGATGATCAATTTAAAAATGAAAATACCTCAATGATCATCTAGGCCGGGTATCCTTAATCTGAACTCCATGGATAGATTTTAGGAGGTCCATAAACTTGAAAGGGAAAAAAATTACATTTTTATTTCCATATAATTGGTTTCCTTTGTAATCCTAGGTATTTTATGCATTTTAAAAAATAGGGATTCATAGGCTTCACCAGACTGACTGCCAGAGGGGGTCCTTGACGCACAAAAAAATTAGAACCTTTGATCTCGTCCCATTCTCTCATTTTATAGATGAGAAAATTGAGGCCCGGAGAAGTTAAATGGTTTCCAAGGTCACCTAGCTGTTAAGCAGCAGCAGAGCCAAGGCTTCAAGGGACTTGGGGGCTCCTGTTGGGGTCAGTGCTTAAGTGGGCTCATCCTGTGAAGTCAGTAAGGACTCAATGAGCCAGGTGTTCTCCTAAGTTTATAACCTCTACTGATGTCCTCGGGAGGAAGGGACGTACACATGTAGCCCAACCCTCTCACTTTACAGATGAGGTCCAGAGAGAGAAAGACCACATACAGCTGGTATTTGAATTCGGATCCTCTGGCTCCAAACCCAGAGGTGATTAGCTAGTACCTGACTGTACATACCAAGAACAGAAGCCATTCCTTTCCTCTCATTTCTTTGCCTTAAAAACAGTGTGATGTATCTTTGTTCTAATTGGACATTTTGTCTTTAGTGAAATGCCTTAATGCTTGAATTGTCTATTTTCTAGTCATAAGTTAGAAGAAGAATTTGAGTGGTTAAAAAGCTCAGAAGTCTTATACTACAGTTTAGAGAAAAAGGGGAATGTGAGCTCACAGATGAAACACCATAACCCTTGGAGTATGAAATGTCATCAGCAGCAGCTACAGCGCATGAAAGAAAATGCCAAACATCGGAACCAGCACAGTATCCTTTGCCAGAGATAGCAAAGCTGTAGGTGTTCTATTCAGGCGTTGTTCAAAAGGGGGTCAGTCCTGGGGATCCTGGAATGGCTCAGATGTGAACATGAGACTTCAGTTGTCCAATGTTAGGTTTTTTACCCTAGTAATGATAACTTGTCACATGCTAATGGAGGAGCATTGGTTGGTTTGAATTCAGGCTTTCAGCCACTGTATTTACATAAAAATTGGTTATTTTTAAAACCACCATCACCAAAAAAACAAACAAGAAAAAACCCTACTATTTCCAGAGTTTTTAAGGAAAAGACTAGTGACTGTAGGTAGGAATCCATAATAACAATAACAATAATAGGTTGTATTTGTGTAATGATTTAAGGTTTGCAGAGTGCTTGACATTTGTTGTATTATTTTACTGTTGTCCTCCTGTGAGATCAGAAACATACAGATATATTATAGGATTTCGAGATGAAGGTCATCTAGAGATTATCTAGTTACAGGGATTCTTTTTTTAAAATTCTATTTTATTTTCAGTTTCTAACTCTGTCTTTCTCATCTCCCTCTTCCTCACTCATTGAGAAAGCAAGAAAAACAAAACCCATTACCAATATGTATAGTTCAGCAAAACAAATTCTGACATTGGGGCAGCTAGGTGGTGCAGTGGACAGAGCACCCGCCCTGAAGTCAGGAGGACCTGAGTTCAAATCTGATCTCGGACCAGATACCTGACACTTACTAGCTATGTGACTCTAGGCAAGTCATTTAACCCCAGTTGCCTCGCTGTCATCGTCACCCCCCCCCCCAAAAAATTTGACAGTGACCATGTCAAAAAAAATATGCTTTAGTCTTTATTCTGAGTCCATTATCTTTCTATCTGGAGAGGTAGGATAACATCATGCTTCATCATGAGTCCCTAGAATTATGGTTGGCCGTTGTGTTGATCAGATTTGCTAAGTCTTTCAGAGTTGTTTATTTTTACAAACAAATTGCTATAGTATATATTTTTTACCTGGTTCTGGTCACTTTACTTCACTTCTGTTCATATAAGTCTTCCCAGGTTTCTTTGATACCATCCCCTTTATCATTTCTTAGAGCACAATAGTATTCTGTTATTTTTATTTACCATAACTTGTTCATCCATTTCCCATTTGATGGGAACCCCCTTAGATTCTAATTCTTTACCATCATAAAAAAAAAATACTGGAAATATTTTTGTAGTATAGAGATCCGTAACCTGGGGTTTGTGATCTTTTTTTTTTTTAATATTTTGATAATTGTATTTCAACATTGGTTTCCTTTGTAATCCTACTTTGTGATCCTTCCTTTGTACATTACTCTAAGAATGGGTCCACAGACTTCCCCAGACTGCCTTCAAGGGTCCACAACACACAAAAGGACACACACACAAAAACCCTGACCTTGTACAGCATTACATGGTTTTGTTTGTTATGTTGTTGGTTTTTTGTTTGTTTGTTTTTAGCATTCTGTATGTCCATTATCTCTTCCAAGCCTTACAACAGCTCTGTGAGGCATGCACTCCAGATATTGTTCCCATTTCACAAAATGAAGGGGATTAGGTGGCTTGCTGATGATTATGTAGCTTGGAAGTGTCAGACCTGTTATTCCTGACTCTCAGTGTGGGAGTCTATCCACAACACCAGTGGTATCAAAACTCAAATAGAAAGTGGGACCACCAAACCATACATCAGGATCCTTGTGGGTGTGTGTTGACTAAGAAAACAACATATTAACATTATCTGCTATACTGTATTTTTTTTTAAAATTTTAACTATTTCCCAATTATGTTTTAATCTGCTTCAGACCTCACTTGGGAATGTTGTGGGCCACATACAGGCCTGCCAGCTGCATGTTTGACATTTCTGCACTATACCAGGCTGCCTCCCATGCTCCTTATTTTAAATATAAGGGAAATGAGGCCCACAGAGAGGAAGTGACTTGCCCAGGGTCATACAGAGACTAGTAGCAGAACCAGGATTCAAGCCCTGATCTTTTGAATCCAGACCTATTAATGTTGAAAGCTTCATAACTGGATTTTGGACTCTCTTTTCACTCTCAGCAGACCAGACTATTTATCTACCTGGTATTCTGGGTCAATAAGCTTTCTTATTTAGGGCATTGTATTTTTTTAGGAAAAGAAGTTAATGATACAAGCCTTTGATCTGAAGCAAGGTTATATCTTAGTCTGAATGCCCATAAAGTGAATCATATTTCTTTTCATTTCTGCTATGAATATGTTGCCTCATTCACAGCAATAATTCCCTGTTCTCTCCATTGGACATTTTGTTTGTACCTCAATAACCTTACCTGTAAAGTGAGTTAAGTGAATTGTAGTGTCCTAACTACCTGAAGGCAGAAAACTAGATCTGTTGTCCTTTTGAGATTTCTTCCATTTTGGATCTGAATTATTCATTCATAATGCTAAAACTTCAGTGGCTCCCTGTTGCCTTTAGGGTAAAATACAAACCCCTCTGTCATTTAAAGTTCTTGACAGTCTGCCTCCAGCCCATCTTTCTAGATTTATTTCATCGTACTTGCCCTCGTGTATTCTTTGTTTTAACCAAATTGGACTTCTTGCTATTGTGCGTGCAGGGGAGTGCATCACCTTCCCCCCATTTGTTGGTGCTGTCTCTGGAAGAAAATTGATTTGTATTTTGTATTCACTTACCTATGTATGTGGTCCATTGTGCCAGTAAGATACAGTATTTTCTTGAGACTAGGGACTGTCTCCCCAGTACTTTGCACATAGCAAATGTTTAGCAAATGCTGGTTTAATTAAATTTTTTCTCATATTATTTTTACCAAATCTGACATATTGGCATAGAGAACTCCCAGCAAGGAATTTCCATCTAACAATGCCCATTGGCAACAACTCTGCAAATTAGATCATTAGAAATTTCTAATCACCTGAGCAGTTAAGTGACTAGTCCAGTGTCACATAGATAATGTATGTCAGAGTAAGTGCTTGAGCCTAGGTCTTCCTGACTCCAAGACTGGTGCTCTGTCTTCTACACCGTACTAACTGTGTGTCTTTAAATGCCTTACTATGTAGAAAACACTTTTCTAGGTGTTGAGGAAAAATGTAATCTCTTTTGAGGCCAGTGACTGTTTTCTATCCCTAGAATTTATCAAATTGCCTTGAACATGAATTGAATTGATGGAACTTACAGTTTAACATAGGATTACAAATGACACATAGGGTTATATACACAAATACATGTTGTTATACGGTAAACATATGATAACTGTGAAATGTTTCTGTCTGTCACAGAGTTGGTGAAATAATGCTGAATATGCTCTTTCTGGGCCAAGTTTGGTAGATATATAGGGACCTAACTGCCCAGCTACACAAGCTATCAGAAATGCTAGCTCCGTTGAGAAGTTGCCTGTTACAACAGCAGGTCAGCATAGGGCATGAGACCTGCTATTGCTGTTCTTTCATTTTATAGAATTGTGTTTAGTTCCTAGAACCCTGGGAACTTTCTGGGGTCTAATGTTCATTTCAGAATTAGTCAACAAGCAGTTTTGGAGTACCTTGCTATTCTAAGTGTTTATTTCTTGAGATTTTCCCTTAACTATCCAGAATTTATCTTACTGGAAAATTTAACCTCTCGCTACCAAGTACCCTGTGTCCTGGACCTGAAGATGGGAACCCGGCAACACGGAGATGATGCATCAGAGGAGAAGAAAGCTAACCAGATCCGTAAATGCCAGCAGAGCACGTCTGCAGTTATTGGGGTCCGTGTATGTGGAATGCAGGTGAGCTTCCTGATACTCTGATGAGAATCTTTGCCTCCAAGGAAAGGCAGAGAGACATCAGGATGATAAATAGCACTGCATTTGATGTCAGCTTAGATTTGAATCCCAGCTCTGCTGTGTGGTTCCTGGGACTTTGGGCAAATCATTCTACTTTTCTGGCTCTTGGTTTCCCATCTATAAAATGCAGAGGTTAGACTATAGTAATCTCTTAAAGCCCCATCTTAAATCCTATGAGCTGATGGCCACTACCTTGGACAGTACTCCCCCTGGCTTTTTGTTCCTCTCCTAGCATCTTCTACCAATGAGGTGATTAGGTTTGAGCTTTGGAAGAGGTCAGCAAAGACTAAGCTATATTATGACATTTCATTGCCTGCAATAATACTAACAATAACTAATTTCCATTTCTATAATGCCTTAGAGGTATAGGTAGTACAGGTGTTATATTCCCATTTTACAGATCAACAAACTGGGATTCAGAGAGACAATATAATTTGCCAGTGTCACATAACTAGGGAATGCCAGACTTAGGATTTGTAGTCTAATGTGTTCTGACTTCAAGTTTAGGGCTCTTTCAACCACACTGAGAAAAGAGGCCTATGTGAGTTTGCATGCTTCCTATTTTTTGTGTCCCCATAGCTAATTTCTCTAGGTGCAGAGCCCCTTCAGCTATTTGCACACTGATGACAAGTAAGCTGATGTGAGGCCAGTGCTGAAAAGTGGCCTCTTAATAGGGACCAAGAAGGACCAGCTCTGAAGAATTGAGCAGCTGTCCTCTTCTCCTCCCCCTCCCCATTAGTCAGTACCTTTTGTCTGCCAAAGAGTGATTTTCCTATTTGAGTTCTTCCTGCCTTGGCCAGAGACAAAAAAGAAGTTATCAGTAAAAGGGGGGGTGTACCTGGAGTGGAGTTAGCAGAATCATTCATGATTTCAATGTACATAACAGAGAGATAGTCTCTATAAAGAAGAAGTGGAGCTGCAGTGCTCATTCATTAAGCAGTCGTGTATTAAGCTAGCTTCTCATGTGTGGAGAAACCTGTGTTGGATTCCGTTAGAAATAGAAAGTTTAGAGATGATATAATTCCTGCCAAGAGAGACTAGCTCACAATCTAGTAGGAGAATAAAACATATGACTAAACTACGTTAATAGGTGATAGGTTCATTGAAGAAGAACATAATGTTGCATGAGGCCAAAGGGGTGAGCTCTCCTGGAGGAGGCAGCATTTGAATTAATAGAAGGTACAGCAGAGGGAGGGCATCCCAAATATGATAGGTTAATAGGTCCTGTGATAGCCCAGGGTACACAGGCTCATAAGATTTTAGATCTGGAAACTATTTGAGTGACCATTTATTTCTGCCATCTCGTGTTTCAGATGACAGCCCTCTGAGCCTCAGAGAGATGAAGTATAATTTGCCCAAGGTTATATAGGTAGTAAGTGGTAGAAAGAGCCAGGATTCAAACCAAGATTTTCTGTCTGCAGATCTGTGTACCATGTTGGCTCATAAAGACCATGGCTTTGCCCTTAGGCTGCCACATTCTGTGGTGGCTGGACATTGCTTGGGAGAGATTAGTATTTCCTCCCATGCTCCTTTTCTCTCCTGTTAAGCACTTATGAATTATTTCTGACGTTTATGAGAGCTTACAAAGCACTTCTTCACAAGAGCGTTGGGAAGAAAGTGAAATTGTTATGATCATCATTTTATAGGTGATAAAAACTGAGACTTGCTCACAGTCAAATGTCATAAACAGGATTCAAACCCAGATCTTGTCTCCATAACCAGTAGCCTTTCTACTGTTCCATGCTGTTTCATTCCTTATCAATAATGGAGTACCTGTGCAGGCTCCTGAGCTCAGTACTTCAGGGGGTTCAGATAAATAAAATATAGCCTTTGTTCTGATGGAATTCATGGTAGGAAGGACGAAATAGAGATAAGGCATGGATATGTAACTGTGACAAATGACAGGAAGATTGTAAGAGGGAGAGAAAGCTGTGAGGGTGTCAGGAGTGGGAGATACTCTTACTGATGTGTCTGATTCCCTGTTGGTAGTGTTGAAGTCTGTCCCTGGTTCTGCTCATTCCCTGTGTTAAGTAGGTATGGTGCTCACTTAGCCAACTTGACCCTGTGAAGGATGTGGCCAGAGAGGGATCCTTGATTGAGGGCAGCTAAGGGGCTAGAAATAGCTGGTTTATTCAGATTGAGAGTTAGAAGATTACATGTTTCCTAAGCTGAGATCGACTTCTGTGCTTAGTATTTAAGGCTTTCCACAGTCTGAAATTACCTTAGGTTTGCAGCCTTACCTAATATTCCTACAATCTACATATTCTGAGTTCCAGTCTGTCCCTAGTCTTGTCCTTAACTTTTCTACTGCCTCCCTGCCTCTTGTTCATATTGTTCTTGTGCCTGGAATATTTTCCCTCCCTTCTCATTTCTTTTCTTTTCTTTTTTTAAGGCAGTTGGGGTTAAGTGACTTGCCCAGGGACACACAGCTAGTACGTGTCAAGTGTTTGGTCTGAGGCCAAATTTGAACTCAGGTCCCCCTGACTTCATGGCCGGTACTCTATCCACTGCGCCACCTAGCTGCCACCCCTTCCTTCTTCTAGTATTGTATTTCTTCCCTTCCCATTTACATGTTACCTCCAAGAAGTTTTTCCTGATTCCCCTTAGTTAGTAATGACTTCTTCCTCAGGACTCAACATAGAACTTTAAATGTCTCTAATGTATTTCTTATGTAATGTTTATTATTATTATCTTTGTTAGTGTCATCCCCTTGGTAAACTGTAAGCTCTGTGAGGAAAGGACTCAGTATCTTATGTAAACATCACATTTCCTTTGGTACCGAACAAAATGCCCTGCACAAAGCAGGTATTTAATGTTTGTTATATTGTATTGTCCATATGTGGAACTGCATTGTCTTTGATGGTAGCACCCCCAAGAAAAAGAAGAGGTTTCATTCTTAAAGAACAAGTCGCAGTAAGTCCTTTGCCTTTGTGTAGTCTCTCCTTTGGATCACATATAGATAGATCCACTTTCACCATTCCCACTGCCTCCTTGCTGCCTGCCTCTGAGAGGAGTGATTATTTGGTCATCTGGCCAGTTTGTGGAACAAGCCCTGCAGGTCTTTGTGCAAATCTACTGCTCCAATTTAAGTTTTGGCTCAGATCTCTTCCAATGGAAAAGGCCAAGGGCAGAAAAAGCCTTTAAGTAATTAAGGTTCTAAATTCAGGGAGGAGTGATGTGTCTCAGGACAACCTGCCCTCCCTTGCATACGACCTTTCTTTAATCTGGGGGGGCTTGACATTTTTTCTCCTTTGCAGGTCTACCAGACAGGGAGTGGCCAGCTCATGTTCATGAACAAGTACCACGGGAGAAAGCTCTCTGTCCAGGGGTTCAAGGAAGCCCTCTACCAGTTTTTTCATAATGGCAGGTACCTACGCCGAGAACTCTTTGAGCCTATCATAAAGAAACTGACGGAGCTGAAATCAGTGTTAGAAACCCAAGAGTCCTACCGATTCTACTCCAGCTCACTGCTTATCATCTATGATGGCAAGGAGCTGCCAGAGGTGGCTGTGGACTCTGACCCCGAGGACCTGGAGGATCTGTCTGAGGAATCATCAGATGAATCGGCAGGAGCCTATGCCTACAAACCAGCTGTCAGCACAGTGGATATCCGCATGATAGACTTTGCCCATACTACCTGCAGGCACTATGGAGAGGACAGCATCGTGCATGAAGGCCAGGACACAGGCTACATTTTTGGACTTCAAAGCTTAATAGATATTATTACAGAAATAAGTGATGAAAGTGGGGAATAAACCATTTGATGAACGCATACCTGTTTGCAGAGAGCACTGTTGCGACTCTTTGTATTCCAGAGTATTAGCTGCTCTGGGTTGGGAAGGAGCCCCAGGGAGTATAGGGGAGGGGCCACTGGAGCTCACAAACCTTGGAGTCTTTATTTATTTTACCTATTTCTTAAACATTCCATATTTGATGATGCAGATACCTCTTTTCTTCCCTGTGTGTATATGTTCCAATAAAACATTTTTGTTCATTGTAAATATGCGGCTGTCATTCCTGGTGGGGTTTGTGTTATTGGCAGCTCCCCAGAAACTGTGGATTATGGTTCTGAGCTACATCAGGGTAAGAGCGGACATCTCTCATCAACAGTTTACTCTGGGAACTCTGAGCCCCAAAAAGCACAAGATAGCAGCAGCAGCTCCCAAATCCTCCTGTGCCCACCAAGGGGAACTTAGCTTGGGCCCTGAGAGACCTAGGGTGGGGCATGTGGTAATTAGTGCCTGAACAGCTATCCCAGATTCCTCTCTTTGTCCCTTCTTGCTCTCTTGGGCGTTCCCAGCCTGCACAGTTCTGGGGTGGGGGAGGGGGGTGGCCTGAGACCCCATTGGTCTTAGAACAAAGATGTCAAAACAGATGCTCCGTATGGTCCACACCACTCCCAAGTGCAGCTCAAACCAAATACGGAAATGTAATTGGGAAATATTCAGCAAGGTATAATAAAACATAATATTACATTTTCAAACTAAGTCACCCTGTGGCCCACAGGGATTGTCATGTAGTGTAGCGGCCTTAGTTTCTAGCTGAGTTTGACATCCCTAGCCTTGGATACTGTGGTGGTTGTAACCTGAGAGGATGTTTTAACTCAGGTTGTTTGCTTATTTGGGGCTTCCCAGTATACCCCGTGCAAAAAACAGATCACAGGCCGTTGGGGTAGGAATGCTAAAGACCTAGGTGTGCCGAGGGTTAAGCTAGGAGTGGTGTGTCACTTTTTTCACTGTTACTATTCCTCTGGGTCACTTGGTCCACCTAATGATAAAAGCGTACTTCCTAGTGGACTAACAAGCATTTTCCTCCCAACCCTGTGAGGCAGATAGTGCCAGTATCACTAGCTTTATTTTATAGAAAAAAAAAAAGTTAAAGCCCAGAATAGGGCAAGTTGCTCAAGGTCATGTAACTTATTAAGTGACACAGCCAAGGCTCAGTCCCTTAGGTTTTCTGTCTCTTAAGTCAAGCACTCTTACCCCTACCCCTACCTTGTAGGAGGTCTGAAGGGTAGGGAACAAGGAGAGTTAATGAAATCTGGTCCCAGCAAGTGTAAAATGGGAGATACAGGTAGCCCGTGAGCCTGACCCACAGGTGCTTTTTTGTAGAACCCAAATTACCCTACCCTTGGAAGCAGAATTATCTTTTGCTTGGACAGTCAAACCACATCTTTTTCCTTGTTCCACTAACTCACTGGAAATCTTATGGAGAGTTTATGTTTCCTCCCATTTCACTTCTTGAACCAAAGCAAGTACTCAAGTTAATTGCACCTATGGCCTGAGGCTGTCTAACTCAAATGATTTATATAAAGTTGGAAGGAACCAGAGAGATCATCTAGTCCAGTGGTATTCCAGCTTTTTTAACGACACACCTCTATCAGTAAAACATTTTTGACCATCCACTACTAATAAATGTATGTTTACTTATAAATGATACATATGTACTACTGTGCTAATATTTGTATAAGATGTACACAAAAATATAAACCAAATGAGATAAAATGTTTTAAAATTATTAATATAAAAAACCTTTACTCTCTCCAGATACTAATATTTTAAAAGACAGCACTAGAAAAATATACTTTATCATTTTTTAAAATCTTGGTTTTACCACTATGACAGTCATTTAAAGATCCAGTTCTAAGTTCGACCTATTTTGATTCTTGGTTTTAATAGCTGTCATATTTGGGGGGGAAAAAGTACAGACATGCATAGATCCAAATGGAAGAAGTGCATTGCTGGCTATGCCTACTAAATCACGGATACTTGTTTTTCAGTCCAGTCCAGTGATAAGGTTTTTGGTTAAACTTGGTTAGTAAATCCCCATCTTCCCCACATCCATCACTTGTTCTTTCAAACTGGCCAGAAGAAGGTATTGCATTTTTATATTTTTAACAAAGGAGCTCGAAACTCACAAATTCTTATAAAGATTCTGAAACAGCTTATAAAATTCATCTAGGCTTTTAATGTGCAGACAAGAGAGTTTTTTAGGTAACATGCTTACATTATTGTTAGCCACAAAAGCTTAGTTTTAAAACATCTTGCTAATTATGATGGCTTTATATTATTAGCTAATATCTCAAGGTATGATAGGCCAATAGTTCATTGTTAATGATAGTAGATGTAAATCCATTTTTCAAATAATCTTGATAATTTTTATTTGGGATGTTAAATCTGATTAAATCATCATGGCAGGTAGAGAATTTATACTAAAAGGGTCAGCCCTGCCCTTATTCACTTTTATTTGTGGTATTATTATCTTCAATCTGCAGTTTCTTAGGAAACTACACTTGTCTGGTGAAGGTTCATTTAGTCAAAACTATATCGTGTGATCTGTTAACACACCCACTTAATAAACTGGTCAAATATAAACTATAATATATACATATATATGCAGTACACTGAAAGGGAATGAACAAATGAATGCTGCACTCAACCTTCCCCTGTTCTGGAACTCCAACTCTTTTCAGCATACCTCTCATACCACGTGTGGAACTGACATGGACTGAGTAAGACCATCACGACTAATCTATAACATATTAGTAAAAACTAGTTTCTTATTTCTTAGCTAAAAATAGAAATAGTTTTTAATATTTTCTTCCCATCCCCCAATTGATCATCTTGTGATACACACCCATGTTTTGGAGACCACTGAGCCATTAAAATTCTCTTATATTTATAGATAGGAAAGCTATCTGTGAGACCAGAGAGGCGATATAGCATTGAGTTGGAACACCTGACCCTGGACAAGTCGGTCTCAGAACCTTAGGTTCCTAATCTGCAAGGAAATAATAATACCTATACTACATACTTCATGGGATTATTGTGGGGAAAGCTCTTTGTAAACTTTTTATAGTTCTATAGAAAAAATTACTATTATAGTTATAGAAGCAGGGGTTACTGTTATCACTTAAGTTCGCACAGGCATTAAGGAGCAGAAGCAAATTTTGAACCCAAGTCTTTCCCCTATACCATACTGAGTCCTCTGCATTAGGCACTCTCTTTCTCTAGGCTACACAACTCTTCCTGACATGAGTTAGTCTAGACACTTGATCATTGAAACAATTAGCCTTCTATGTCTGGGACAAATAGCAGCCTGTATTTGTCCTTCCTTGGGACAATTAATTTTGTGTCTCTCCATCCCTGGTACATTTACCAGTCTGTCTATCCATCTACTTACGGGGCAGCTATCTGTCCATTTGTCCAAGCTTGAAATGGTTACCAGTCCCTGGAACATCTACTAGTATGTCCATAGGTGTCTGTGATAGGGAATGCCTGGGCCTGCTGGGGCTGACATTGACCTTCATGGCCTTGATGAAGTCTGGTGGAGCAGGTGGAGAAGGCAGTAGGGGAAACAAAGGAGCCCTAAGGTCAGGTGCAAGACTTAGGCTCATTTTTGGAGGAGGGATTACTGCTGGAGAGAGGACTTGTCAGAGAGCCACAGAAATCACTCAGGTCTAGATATTTAGTTGCCCACTAAACCAATAGGACACTGGCAAAAGGCAGCACTGAATCATTAAAGCATTTCACTGGGATTGAAATGAATAGTAGAGAAATCTCACACATTCATAACCACTTCTATTCTCCAAGTAGTTTGGGAAGCAAACTCCATTGAGCTTCATGGCTCCAGAACCTGAAGGGTTGGAGCCTTTGGTAGTAACAGCTGCTGTCACTGCTTTTAAATCGCTCCCAAAAGAGTGTGCCACACACTCGCTCCTGTGTTTTCATAGTTCTTGGATTCAAGCATTATTTAATATCTTGGTGGTGGTCATCACTCTGCTGTCCCCAGCAAATTTTTCTCTCCTCTTAGCATTGTAGACCCCAGTAGGAGCCACCATTATTACTCATTGTCCTTTCACATTTTTGGGAAGATTGATAAAGTGGAGGGTTCCAGAGGAGGGCAATTTGGATAATGAGGGACCTCAAGTTCATGCCATATGTGGATTGGTTGAAGGAAACAGGAATATTTAACCTGGAGAAGGCAAGATTTACGGAGTGTGATAGTTATCTTCAAGTATTTGGTGGAGGGGGGGAGCTACATGAATAAGCAATGGATAACTTGTTCTGGTTGGTCCCAAAGGGCCAAACCTGAACCAGTAGGTGGAAGTTCCAAGTATGGAATCAGGATTCTAGTTCCATATTATTTTGTTGTACTTCTAGAGAGCTTGACATTACTGCAAAGGGCTATGGATGGGCTAGATATTACTATCTGGGAGAACTATGAATGAAGGTACTTTTCCTTGGAGAAACATTGCTACCCCAGAACACAACAATGGAAAGCACATGCTTGACTTGCTATAATCAATAATCAGTTAATATGGAATCTTTTCTCAGAATATTCCAAGAAGGGGCAGCTAGGTGGCGCAGTGGATAGAGCACTGGCCCTGAAGTCAGGTGGGACTGAGTTCAAAACCGCCTCAGACCAAACACTTGACCCTTACTAGCTGTGTCACCCTGGGCAAGTCACTTAACCCCAATTGCCAAAAAAAAAAAAAAAAAATTCCAAGAAACCCCACACAGCTGTTTAGCCTCAGTGACTCCACTTTGTATACCTTCATTGATCTTGTCTACCTTGAACGACTTTCATTTAATTTTTTGTTGTTTCCTCAAAGATTTTTTTTAAAAGCCAAGTGCTTTTCCCCATTTGGCTAAAAGAAAATTCAGAGTCCTAAGTCTATTCTTCTGGCTCTCTGACTCAGGTTAGGGCTGTCTGACTTTGCGCTTGGTTTGAGATATCTTTAAATCTTTGATTGCAGAAAAGAGAGCTAAT